GGCTATGTAAATTCGACTTTTAATCCATTAATATATGCTTTGTTCTATCCATGGTTTCGAAAAGCACTGAAACTTATTATTACATGTAAAATATTTCACCGTAATTCATCTAGAATTAAACTTTTGTCTGAATAAAGTTGTCGAAATGTATAGCTGGGATAGTACACTGAAAAATTTCAATTCATCATTATAGATGTGTTTTTATTTATTTCAATAAAATGTTGAAAACCAGCATATGCTTTCATTATTTACTGTATGTCACTTTTTATTGTGATATTAAATCTTTATAAGTCTTTACTGAACTGGTACATTTCAAACACTAAAAACTTCAGAAATGTCTGATTAAGAAATTTAATGAGATACTCCAATATATTTGGAAAAAGATGTGCAGTATTTGAATACAACAGAGATATAACTTGTGGTTGGCTGTAAGAAAAAGGAAAAATTGTGACACAACAGTCAGTAATCAAATAAACAGGCAAGTAATCTAGGGTACATGTGCATTTATTATACTGCGAGAACATTTCATTATTATATGAAAACTGTGTTCAATATTAATAAAAAATCTCTTTATTTCTGATGTCTTACACATAGATGAGAATAAAAATCTTCAAGATTACTCAATTTATTATTAATTTCCTGTTTTCCTTTAATGATGGTTCATCATTGTTTTTTTTACCCCATCCAGTTTGTACTACTTCTTTCTGGTCTCCTGTTTGTCAGGCAGATGCCTCAGCTGCTTTTCTGGAATGCTAAGCCCATTCGCACCCCTTTCTTTGGTTCTCAACACCATTCCGCTCCAAAGTCAAATAGCTCTTCAGCCTGGGGGCTCATCAACAGGATTTCCACTCCAAGACTGTGATACGCGTCCTCATTTTCCTTGGGAGCTCCGTGTCACACCCTCTGCAGCCAGTGGGCGCTCCTACTCTGTCCTGTCCCTAGTTTCTTGTGCTTTGGTCTCCTTCCGGGGCTCTCTCTCTGGGGCTATATATTTCCGGGTCACTTATTCTGCTTCGCTCAGCATTGGTGTTCAGATGTCCTGAAATCCGCCTAAGCATCCAGGTCGCCGCACGTCCGCTGCCTGAGGGCATTGGTTTCTATTCGACTCCTGAACTGCTGAGCCCGGGCTTTTTCCCCATTCCTCCGCTGTGCATATGGGTCTTTTTCTGCTCTCCTCCCTCTCCATGGCTTGTACTTTCTGACATCCATGACACTCAGCACAGGATTCCACTCCAAAGCTGAGGCTGCCCAGTTCCCGTCAAAGGGATGATTTACAAGGGTTGTGATCTTTGAGCTCTATACCAACCACCCTCACTTATCGCCGCTGAAACTGCTCTGAGTGTAGTCTGTGACTTCAAACCTCTCTGCACTGCAGATCTTTTCTAGGTTGCCTTTTCTCTGGAACTTTATTCTGTACTCCTGTCTGACTGCTTAGCAGCTTCTGGACAACACCCTAGAATCCTTGACTCTTCCCCGCTGGTCACCTTCAGTTCTGTCCTGCCCACAAGAGGAAACTTCTGTTGTCCAGGACCCCAGGGTTCTCCCCATGCAGCTGTTTGTCCTCTCCCTAGCCTAGCCCCATTCTTGCTCTTTTGGGTCCTGCCATAGTAGTTTAGTTTTTTTCTGTTATCGTTCCTGCTGCCTTCTCAGCTATTCTTGAAGTGACTTCTTCTCCTGACTCAGGGCTCTTTATCCTCACCTTTTTCTTTTGAGCTGTCTGGGTAACTTTTCTTTGCTATCATTTTTCCCAGTCTCCTTTCAGGGTTCCAGCATAACCTTCTGTTTCTTTCTTAGGGAGTCAAGCATCCTGTTTCCACTTCGATGCCTGAGAGCATCTCTCTGTTAGCCAGAGCCCCTTAAGGATTCCTAGTTGTCAGGCTCTGACAGGGACTGCCCCCTGCTGCTTTGATGACAAAGGGACTCTCAGAATTGAGAGAGAACTTTGGGAAGGCCCATTTCCTCAGGAGTGCCAGGAGTGTGGGTTGGCAAACACAAGGGTCGACGCGGTGAGCAGTGAAACGAATAAGAGGGGACTAGAATATGAAACTGCAGCGTCAGGCGATGCAGAGAGCAGCCAAAGAGCTAAAGCTGGCATGTCGGGTGATGTTGGAGCTGATTCTGCTGCGCCGGTGAGGCTGAATGCCGGCTTGGAAATGAAGCTGCTACACGTTTGGAACCCAGGGATCTATGTGGAATTTGTATTGTTACAAATAGGGGCTTAAAAAATTAACTCTAGAATAAAGAGTCAATTTCCCTCTGGTATTATGTCCACTCAAACTGTTAATAATATCTCTGGAAGTTTATACAGTAGAAGCCTGGTTTATGGCTTAGATTAAAGCTAAGTAATCATACTGTATGTCTCCCAAGGTGCTTCCCCGTCATAGTGACCGGGTCGTACCAGCACCGGCGGGCGTGGGAACAGCTGGCCGGCTCCGGCAGGGAGGGCATCTCCTCTCTGGAGCATCCGCTGGAAGGGAGTAGGGGACAGTCACCCCAGTTCCACTGGCGAGACCACTACTGGATAGCCCTTGTAAGGGCTGTGGCCACCTGTTGCACCCAAGAGTTGCTCAGGCCCTGGGTGTTCGCTTCCCCTGGGTTCGGTCTCTTTCAGGGTCAGCCGGCGCTTGATAGAGTCCGCTAGCATCCTGCCCGCTTCTGACACCCATTTAGCATTTTTGAGGCAGCAATGCTAATCAATGTGCTTCGAGAGTTTGAACCTGGGTCATGTCACTATTCCACTACAACCCTGACTGGGATTCTCTAATTAGTAGACACAGTGTTATGCCCTATTCTATTCTGTTCTGTCCCTTGTTTCCTGTGCTGTGCTTGTCCTTCCAGTGTGTCTTTGTGTGGGGCTGAATATTTTTGGGTCACCCTTACCTCCTCGCTCAGCATTGAGGGTTCGGATGTCTTGAGACCTGCCTAGCACCAGGTCGTCTCTGCTGCGGCCTGAGGGCATAGGTTTCTACCCGACATCATCTGACCCCCTGAGCCCGTGCTTACCCCTCTTCCGCCGCTAAGCACAGGGTCTTTTTTTGCTCTCCTGCCATCCCACAGCATGTCTTTTCGACATCAATGACGCAAAGAAGTCACTTCAGGGTACTTGTAAGCAAGAGGTGTTGTTGATAAGGAAGACCTCTCTACAAATGCTGATCTATACATCAGCATTTAACCTCTGCATGGGGGATGTATTACCTATAATATTACGTGTTAAAAGATAAATGGTTAGAATTTCAATAGCAGAATGTACTGAAGTTCCAGTGTCCTACAATGAAAAAAAACTACGCATCCAGAGTTTGATATTCAACTAAACAGTTAAAAAAAATTCCATAGCTCAGGAAAGTGCGCTTCAAAATCTTTGCATTTTAGTCCTTTGTGTACAGAACATTTGCATCTGTGCTTTGGTGTTCCTGTCCTACTTCTGTCTTTTTTTAAAACATCTTTATTAATTATTTTATGCAGAAGCATAGAGTATCTTGTGAAAGATTGTGTATTGTGTGAAAATCATTAAACTGACATCTTAAGTGTCATTGGAGATTATATTTCTGATTGCATTCATGTAGCTGAGTGGACTGCAATACTCTGGGTAAAATAACTCACTCAAATATCATCTGTTAGGACTTGAAACCACCAGTCATTAGTTTAGAGATGTACCCAATATGCTGTGCTGTACCCACACTTTGCAATTAGCAGAGAGACGGATGTATTACCCAAGCCTTTATTCTAACTTGTCTGGATTCATTTTAATTAAACAAAAATTTTTAATTGAAGGTTAATTGTCTTTTTAAACTACAGGTCTAATCCATTGTTTACAGATGGAACAGCAAACAGCTGCTAAACAGGGACTGTATCTCTTTGTCTCATTGTCTGATTACAATGCTGGATTATAATTGTGTATTGTCTTTGACCAATAGCTTTTTGATATTCCCCTTGACATCCACACAGTGTTAAACATAACAAAGTCCCAGTGCTATATAAAAGCCTGTTTTCTAACAAGAATCAACAAAGAAAGAGAAAACAAATTTTCTGCAAGA